ATGCTGCTTTGGTAGACCCATTTTTTTTACTCTTTGATGGAAACAAGGTCCGAAAAAGAAGCACTACCGGTGATGATGATTGAATCATTCTCAAGGATACCAAGATGCTTTTTGTTGGGGGGAATTATTTTGTTGCAGTTTCATTTCTATGATTTTTAGTCAGGATAGTTTTTATTGATTTATTTTATCAAAAAAACTTTTTTTGTTGATTTAGAGAAACATCTTGATGGTTTGGAGTGCAGTATTAGGACACTATTGGAGCGAGGATTAAAGTTAAAAAACCAACTTGGATTAATTATTTCCATTTTCCAAGGTTTCTTTTGATCATTGAGAAGCTTTGGATAATATTCGGTGACTTATTGGACCCAAGATTTTGTTTGTCAGCTGGAAAATTGTGCTAATGGTCCAGCATCAGGACATTCTTGATGAATTACTGGAACTAACAATCCAACGTCAAAAAATTATTTGCCTTCTCCAAATCACTCTAGATCATTCAGAAGTGAACGGAATGTTTGTGGTGATTTATTTTATCAAAGACTTTGATGATATTTGTTGTAATAGCTGCAAAAATATATCGATGGTCTAGAGTTCAGCATCAAGACACTTTTGTCTAATGATTGAAGCTAACAATCCAACTTGGAAAAATTATTTCCATCTTCCAAGGTACTCCAGGTCATTGGAAAGCATTGGAAGATGTCTAATGCGTTCTTCGATCAACCACTTTGGTAATATTTGTGTCCAGCAGTTAGAAAAGCTTGTTGGTGGTCTAGACTGCAGTATCAAGTCTCTTGGAGTTAAAAATCCAACCTGGACATATCATTCCCATTTCCCAAGGTTCTCCAAAGCACCAACAAGTCTCTGAAAATTCTCACCAAGAAAAAGAGTGAAAACTGTTCAGGTTCTGATGAAAAAGGTTTTTTCCTTCCGATGAACCCACGCGTCTCCATCGTGTAAACTTCTCGGAAAGAGCAGCGCGGTTCCCACGAACGACTCAGTTTTTCTCTGAATAAGACAACACACAAATTTCAACCAAGAATAAAGACAGAATCTATATATATATATATATGTATAAGAGTCTCAATTGAAGGGCGCCGGGCTCATGTAATCTCTTTTTGGAATCTCAATTTCTCATGACGTATTATCCCTATATGTGAGAGCGTGTAACATCAAAATATTTTTTTTGTGCAGTGTGTGGAGAACAAAGGAAAAAGTTGTTGTTTTATCATAAAAATAATCTACTGTTGAACATATATGACGACTTTTTTGAGAAGCAAAACCACATTTAGCTTGAGGCAAACACGAGCCGACAGATCCATCATCGCGGCAGGACGCATCCTGTTGGCTAACAAGACAAAATTAGCTGTAAAATAAATCTAGGGCTATTTTGGAAGGTACAAAAACGTATACCGCGTGCTGAGGTTAGACAAGTTGTTTTGGGGGTGGATGAAACCTATTAGCACGCGGCAGCAGGCCTCAATCAGCGGCAGTTATAAGAGACCTCTAACTATCAGTCTAACTTACAGTGGATCTATTTTCTCCAAAACAACCTGAAATAAATTTTTTTCTCATCTTTTTTTTCCTTCAAAATATCTCTAACAATCACCATTCGCCATGAATACCATCAACCTAGCATCTTACTGCCCACATTCTTGCATCAATTAAAGCCATCATGGATCAACTTGTGCTGCTAATCAACCACAAACATCCACTAGCATCCAGCAAACAATAGTATTTAATCATCGAGGAATATCTTAGCTGATAGATATCAATTTTAATGCAATGATCTCCAAGGAATGATGTAGTCCAGGTCTAGTGTTAGCAAGCATTCATTTTGATGAATTCAATAATAAAACAATAAACCAAGAAATGAATGTAGTCTTCATCAAAAAGGCTTGAAAGTTGATGAAAAAAAAATTAATCAGCAATATGAATTGAAAAAAGTACTTCCATGATGCAACATAAATTCCTGAGGGATGAGACTGGTGCTGAGAAACATCTCAAAACCAGCAAGGAATAGTAGTCCTGATGTTTATTGAGTAGACGAGCTATGCGGGCACACTGTCCTAATTACAACAAGGTCTCAGGATTTTTTTCAAGCTGAAAAGAGTCTAAAATATTTGCCCGAGGCGATCATGGGACTAGACTAGATTTTAGCGTACTCCCAGGACCAGAGAAAAGGATCATGACGTGATCAGATGAAGCCGCCAGCGGACGTAAGTGACAGCAATGGAGTCGCAGTTTTCCCAGCCATTCATGAAAGCATGGATTTTTTGGGGGTCTTCTCACGACTCATTCATACCTTCGCTGCATGAGATCCGATCGTGAAACGTGCCTACCTGCCTTCTCCACCCATCTACTGTCACTGCCGCCGCGTCCGCGCGTTAAAACCGACGCCACATCAACCACATCTTCCCCTCCCTTCTCCATTTCGTCATTCTACACGGATCACCATAGAAATAATCGGTGTACTGTGTGTGATTTTGGCCTGTCTTTCGCTTGTCCGACACGGGTTCCCACCTACTCTCAATCTCTTCAAGCCTCTAGTCATGGTCCAACCATCGGTATGATGATATCACCGAGCTCACTGCATGCTTTGCTAATAAACAATCCTCCAGGCTGCTTTGGATGGTGCTTTTGGATGATCTTTAAATACTTTATTCAACCAAGAAGAATTGTTTATAGCGTCAATTAACCAAAGATCACTAAAATATGTTAAAAGAATCTTTCCTCAAGCTAACCAGGATGATGTTCCAGTTTTAATAATGCTTTAAAAACCATCTTTTAGCAAAAAAAGATACTTTTTCAATTGAAACTAATTTTTTCAAGCAACAATTAATAAAAAATGATCAAAATGTGTTGATAAAATTATAGAAGTTAGCTTTATTGATGATCAAAAAAATTTTTATCCAGCAATAAACAATTTTTCCCATCAAAAATAAACTGGACCCCATTGAAAGATGTTGAAAGAAATATTATACAAGCTTGGTCTGAGAATAGAAAAAGAATAATCAATTTAAATAATAAAAAAAGGTTCTTTATTTATGAAAATAACTCCAATGGCAAGGAGAAACATTGACACCTGCTCAACAAGCCCAAGATGATCAAGAGAGGAAGTGAAAAGGACCGGCTGCAAACGTCAAACAAGGTCTGAGAGAAGTTAAATCTTTACGAGAGAGCGCACTGCAATATGCTTGTCGATGACAACGAGCTAACAAAGTTGGTAAACACGGCGGCTTAGCACAGAGTCTTCATATATAATATATTCTTGCTCATTTCCTCTCAAACACGTGTACAAACGAGTGAAGATAGACATACACACTTGACTCCATGATCATCATGGGAACCACCAATCAATAATAACCGTTAAAATATCCCATACTAAATTGATAAAAATGGTTGACTTTAGGTATAAAAGTTGAATAAACAAGTCAGATATAATTGGATGTTGAACGGTCTTTGGTTTAATATGATACAATAATAGAGTATAGGACATATTCAATGAGTAGGTAGCAAACCCTTAATCTGTAGCTTCTCTTATCCATATTACAACATTGTATATCATTCTTAGGATTATATTTTAATCTTTCTACATGTTCATTTCACATATATACCTAGATATATATCATCAAATCAGATCTTTTCAAACATATTATTTACAATACAATCGTCTTACCCGAGACAATTATTTGATCATCTTACATATCTATTTATTGCATCCAATATCCAGAATTTTTTTTTTTACAAAAGTCCAGGGTTGATAAACCAACTGATGGACCTGGTTCAGATCTCGATCATAAACAAGTCTAGATCATCAATAAGCTTTTGATGACATCTATATCCAACTGTCCATCAAGTTGGCTTATTTTCCCCCATCATCCTAAAGGACACTTGATTTGATAGAACGCTGCTACGACGTTGTTAACATATCACTTTCCTTGTAAAACAATAAAATAGCAAATAAATAGACAAACAAAAAGAAAATGCATCAATACAATCATAATTGATTGATATTTTTTAAATAAATAAAATGACATGATTTTTCTTTTATTTTTAAGATAAGGAATATTATTTTATCAAAAATGATCATTAAAAATTGCATATCACAGTCTTGATGATTAAATGAGAGATGCATGTGATCTGATACATCTTGTCTTTGTGATTTTTATGAAATCATTTACAATAAAAAATAAATAAGCTCTAACTGACATTGAGATAGAGAGGTACTTAGTCAGTCATGAATAATAAAAAAAAAAAAAAGAAATGTTTTACAAATAATTTTATAAATAAAAGCCTATATAAAATAAAAGGATATTCCTTTCACGTAGTAGCAGCGTAATTATTATTTTTTTTTTCCTTTTTTTTTTTTTATATATATATATAATCGATTTAACAGTTGTTTAAATATATCGATAATATATTTTTATAAAGGCCCATGTGTAGGCTTTTTAAAAAAATAAAATAAATAATCTGAATAAATAAAGAGAGTATAATAATAATAATTATAATAATAATAATGATGATGATAATGATTATGATCATGTATTAATAATAATTAATAATACAGTTAGTCAATAAATATTGATTAGAATTAAGTTGTTGCATATATAACGTTGTGAGTTATCATTATGTTTCATTAAAAATGATTGTATTTAAAATGACATTTTGTTTTTTTTTTTTTATCTCACAATATGCACAAATACTGTATATGTATGTGTGTGTGTGTCTGTGTACGTTGTTTTGTATTTATATTATCTATAAATAAATATATAAAATCGATAGTAATTAATTATTAATATTACTTATAAAAATTCTGTGAAATAAAAATAATAATCATATCATTATTATTACTATCTTGGACGTGAAAATGTTTGTTTTCTTTTATCAATATATTATAATAATTATTATTATTAAAAATAATAATAACATTTGAAATTGGAGCATATTTATATTTGTACCAATCTCATTATTTTAATTAAATTTCCTACTATTGTTTTTTTTTCTTTTTTTTGCATCACTTCAATTTAGTCTATCAAATAATTCCGTTTTGATAAAAAATTAAGTGCTGCACTTGATGGAATTTCAACAGATCTTTGGATCACATTTTAGTATTTTTTGTTTTTTTAAAAAATAATAAACAGTAAAGTACATACGTGCATGATTAGCATTACTAATTAAAAAAAAAAAAATGTATAATTGTATCGATAAAATAATCGATAAAAGTCGGCGGCGATTAGCCAGCGAGAGACTAACACAATTCGACGTAGCTAAACCATATGATGATGATGATGATGATGATGATGACGATGATGATAATGACCACACAAAAGTGCCAAAAAAAAAAAAAAAAAGAAATGTAATACTTGGAATTTAAAATTTCGAGTTCAATAATCAGAATGGCTTAGCAACTATCATCACGAAGTGGAAAGAGTTCGTGGGATTCGTCTAGAGAAACGAATGATTCGTCGTCGAGTAGTCCTACGCCGACCACCGCCTTGCCATCCTCAAGATTCCAGGTTACGTTTAAGGTGTTCAAACACTTGCACTACATACTCCAAGCCATTCATGTAATCTCGGAAGATCAGCCAGTCTCGTAGATTTCTGTATGTTGATGATGATGCCATAGCACGATATTCAGGTGTCATGACTTCTCGAGTCACGTCTGCTCGTGGTGTTACACCACGTTCCATCAAAGCTACCTGTAGCTCACATAGAACCTGTCAAGAAATAATTCATTTAGTTTATCAAGTTCTAGATCTTTCAGAGTTATCAACATTTCATCAGTATTCTAACAACGAAAATAAGTTCATAAATTGACAATGCTTACCGTTCGGAGTTTGTACTCGGTGTCTTTAAATTGTTTGAGAAACTCAAGTCGATGATCCTCTTGGTCCCAGACTATTTGCTCTAAACCCACAGCGTATTTCTGCATAAACTCGTAGGCATTTAAGAGGGCAGTATCGAGCTGTAAAAATAAATGACAATGAAACAAGTGAAGATGAGTGGAGAAAGAAGAAAGCAGTGAGAAAATTTGTGAGAGATTGAAGATGATGAAGGAAAAAAAAAATTTGATGACAAGCGCACGAACCATTCGCACCTCCAGCTTGTTTAAATATTCCTTGGTTAATTGTTCTCCCAGCTGCTTTGGGATGTCTTTGGAGCCTGGCAGCCAATCGTAATGATTATCTTTCCATGTTGAATGTACATCGTTCAATGTAGTATGAAACGTTTTTTTAACCTAAAAAAAAAAATATAAACAATTTATTTTTATTTTTTCTAGGTTACAATACTGCTGCCATCTTAGAATTAATTTCAACAATTGTCTAACCTGCTAAACAAACAATATTATCAATTGTTTAAACGCATCAATAATTTTGTTTATCAAATGAAAGTAATTAATTAATAAATACAATTAAGTTATTATTATTAACCTAATTGTTATAGGTTATTATTCAGTTAAAAAAATGTCCAGTTGAAAATAAATGACTTGAACTATCCTAAATGGTTGAAAATACATGAATTCTACTAAAATACTTCAAATTATAAACAAATATAAACGTTTAAATAAGTTTTTAATGGTGGAAATGAATTATAACCTCTACTAAATAGGTTATAATTCACAAGAGCAATAATAAAATCATCAGAATTATTATGATCATCACAACTCCCCTATAAAAAACTATATCAAGCTTCCCTACTTGACAAGAAAATTAGTCACAGTGGCTTTTGACTAACACATAATAAATTCGGGGAAATCATCATTGTCATAAATACTAAACGCAAAACACTTGTAGTAGAATCGGTGACTAAACTACTCGACACTCATAATGCTTGGCGCCTTAATTTGATAATTCAATTAAAACCAGAGTGATCTATCAAACCTAGAAAGACCCAAGATGATGACAAAAAATATTACAAAAATTTTATTATTAAATTCATACGAGGAATCAATGAATTGCAGGCCTAGGTAATGTGGTTTTATTGGCACGCGCCACATAATAAAGTGAGCATGGATGATATATGTGTGATATCCGGAGTGTGATGTAGTGTATAACGTGAACGTTGATGAGTATAAGTAGTGTATCAGCTGGCTCACGAGGATCATTTGACGAGTGGGGGCTTATCTCTGTCCAGGAATGGCAATAATCAACGTGAGAGCTACCTACGGTGGCAATTATATGCGATAATGCGATTAAATATAATATAATACAATCCCTGAAGTATATATTTGATAAACCTTTAACCTAGCAATACCAACAATAACAAAATCAGGGATTCTAAAAGGTTAGTTTTTTTTTTTTTATATTTTCTATCAATACATATAGAAATTGATTGACTGTTTTATTTCTTTTAGGCTTTCCTTCTTTTTTGTTGCGGGGGCTCCTACGGTGGTCTAAAAATGTTAGGGTCAGCTCACTCTGCATAACTGTGACTAAGTCTTTGGATGTTTAAATTGGCTTCACTTTATGCCGCCCAGTCAATTACGAAATTTTTAGGTACAAGGTAAAACAAGGTAGAAATCTTTAACGCTTTACTTTGTGTAAACCTAAAACACGACAACCTTGGAAATAACTCACTACACTTTCGCGTCAACCGGTTATTATTTATAATACTTTTCTGAATGACCAAAGTCTTACTTCTACATAATTAAACACTATTTTACGATAATACTAATCTCAAAGCCCTGAGAATATAATCTGGGTCCAGGATAAATAAAGGACAACTATTGATTTTACGACCCATATTCTTTACTAAACTCAATTAAATCAACTCTTTATGGTTTATTACTTCATCTTCAACTGTTCTGACTACTCTCCAAATCACTTGGACTATTTTTATTGATGCTTTGTTCTCGATTACTCCAATGTTATAAGTATAATTATTTTTACTTTAATCCCATAGACTTTGATGATGATCATTTTTTCAATTTTAATTCAACAAAAATATTCATTATTGACATTTGTTTTAGGTTAAGTTCTTCAATATGTTTATGTGCTGCTCTAAAAGATGCTGTTGATGAATTTTCTATCAAGACCAACTGTAATTATCCAGATAAAAAAATATATCCCAATCTATTCTAGACCAATGAGAAGTCAAAAATAAAAACTGGAATATTGTCACTAACGACTGTATTTGTGGTACGAAAATGACTGCCTTAGGTATTTTGTGCCTCATAAAATTTCTCGTCGACCCATCACGAAATCATGATGGAAAAAAGTGGAGACAGGAAGTAAGCTAAAAAGAGACTATAGAAAAGGCTCTGAGACAAATTGAGAAGTTGGTCAAAATCAATTAGCTAATTTTTTTTTTTTTTTGTATTCTTTAAACTCTTGAAAATTTGTTGACCATATTTTTTTTTCCAATCTCAACTAATCATTCTGACTCTAATTTAACATCGTAAACTAAATACCCACACCTTAATGACAACCTGTGTGATAATTTGTCGGGGTTATATATCAAATTTATTTTTATGCAGACATACAGAATTGTCGGCGTAGAATCTCCGCGTGCCAAAGCCAAGTATACACGAGGAGCCGACGCGTTGTATATCCGGTCTGCACTTTAGTATGCAGCCAGAGTAACAGTGCTCGGTAGTAGTAATTCGGAGAGAGGGGCAGCTTCCGATTTATTTTAATCTCTTTTTTTTTTTATTCCTCTTTTATATTTCTTTGATGTACTTCTGAATGAAGTGTCTTGGCTACTCACTGTACAGTAATAAATGCCACATCACTAGATTGGAATTATTCTAATTAAATTGAAAATAAATATGATGATGATGATGATGATGAGTTAGCATGAGACCAATGCAGACAGTACGACGCCAAATAATCTCCACCACACCTGACCCACAAGTAAGCACAGCATACTTAAGTTTGATAACACGATCCAAAGAATCAACCCAAGACTCATCTCATTTTTCATTCTCTTCTTGAAAATCATTTCTCCATGTTCTTCTTCTATTCATGACAACTGACTTTGAGAACTCTAGTATATCGAGTGTCGAGTACTAGTGATGATGATCTAATCGTCGAGAGACTCAGAACATGGGAAAGAGAATAATTCTATAATATTTCTAAGCTATTGAAAATGAATTATACAACAATAAAAAAAAAGTATTGACAGGATTTCCGGTAGTACAGTTGTCAGGGCAATGGGAATTTCCCATAGGCCAAAAATGTTTGTAAAGAAACCGGCTAAGGTTGAGGCATAAAAAAATAACGTGGACTGAATAAATTAGAAACTGGCTCATTGCTCATAAAACCACTATTAGTTAACACGCGACTATCTCGCGTCATCTGACATTTTTTTACTTTTTTACGAAATTTCTGACCTAAACATGAGTGTTATCAAAAGCTCTTACTGTCTTCAATTATGACGATTTCATAACAATACTTAGTCAGAGGTAAAAGTGTTAAATATTTTTAACAATATGAATATATTGTCATTACTCTTTCTCATTCAATCTACTTTCATTTTCAGTCTTTGAAGAAATATTTATCCTGGCTGGATGTAATGATCAACTTTTATTGTCATTAAAGCAGTTTCCCGGCAATGATTTATCAAGAATAAGGTAGGAATGAATTTATTTAGAAGTTAATTTGTTGGATAAATATTAAGTGAATTTATTGAAATGAATAGGTACTTACAAAATCGTCACAGAAAAGTTGTGCATGATCTAGAGCCGTTTTAGCCTGGACAACAACTTGAGCAAGCAGTTGTTCATCTTTCAATTGTTCGACATCCAAGCTGCCATCAATGTCTTCAGCTGCTAGACCACAGGGGTTCACCCACTTGGGTGGCTGGCTGAGTCTCCGATCGTCAAGAGCCATTGACGTCGGAGCACTTTGAACTGAAACCACAAGGAGTAGCACCAAAAGGCTTCCTAGCCCTGAAAATAGACAGAAAACTATTGAAAACAATTAATGATTAATATCAAGTAAGTCAAAAGTTTGCATAAATAAATAAATAATTAAATAAATAATAACTAACTCTAATCCTAAAAAGAATTAGCGAATAACCTGTCTGTTGCAGTTATAATAATTAATGAGAATAAATCAGAGGAGAGGAAAAGAGAGCTAAAGGTAAAACGAAGTCGGCGTTCCAAGTGGAATTCTTGACAACCCACGGCAAACTGGAAAAAAGTAATGCGCACACCGGGAGCTAAGTACCAAAGCTCCCAGCAAGGAGCATCTTGGTCACAAGAGTCGAGTAAGAAGATGAAGAAAATATGCGGTAATGGCGCACTGTCCTCGCATTACTTGCGACAATTATACCCCATTACCGCCCTGATACTGTGCAGGTTAGTCTCCTACATCATTCCACTCTTTTCTCCTTCCCATTTGTACTCATGGAATCAACGTACGTTGCGGTAGGTCGTGAGCTCATCGATTTATACACCAACATAATGTCTAGAAAATGGTGTCTAATATTTACTGATACTTTTTTTTCCTAGTTTATTACGTGAATTAATGCTGCCAATTAATACCAAGTAAAACAAAATGACTTAAAACCACCTGTGGGATGTGATTATAACTCCAAGACCATCAACAGGTGGCATGGATCCAAGGCCAGAGTTCTCTCTACGATCTATTTACATTCCTCGTTATTTTTGTATTTACTCAAGTGAAAAACGTGCTTGAGCAGCATTTCTCACACGACAGGGCGCAAAATGACAATAAAAAGGTCAATAAAATTGCTCATGATTATGCTTGGGATGTTGATCATCAAAGAGTTAATGCACCATGGGGATTCCCCCAGATTATCCCTAAATTTTAATCATCTAAATAACTTTGGTGATGACTAATTCATCGGATCACTTTCAAATGTGACGTCAAGTTAGAATTGACTATGGAATGTATATTTCTATTTCGAGACTGATAAAAAAAAACGTCTCAGGTAAGGATTGACATTTGGCTGATGGTTGACAGCAGTGATAATTGATTAGAAGTTTTTAAAGTAAATCTTTGTCTTTATAGGACAATAAATCAAAACTTATTCATTATTTTTAGAGTCACCAGTCAAATAGCAGCAGGTGTGGCGGTCACTTGAGGACTAAAAGGAGAAAGAGAATGACTTGGGAACTGGTCAAAGACCTAAACTGTCATAAATTCTTTTAACTTAGGAAATAATAGGGAGGTATGAATTTATTATTTTTGAGGAACTTCAGATAAGCTAACGTGGGTGGTTTTTTTTTCGGTGGTACCGTTATACAAAGACGACGTTGTTACGTTTAATCAATTGATGACGTTGATGTTTCGACAAAGTTTAAGATAAATAAATAAATGAATGAAGATATGTGATGTTGATGATGATAGATGTGATATTAAGCAGTTTATAAAGGCCAAAGCTTACGTAGCTTTTCTACTCTCACCGACGACGAGATAAATTAATCGAATCACGACTCGGCGCTTTTCCGGCCGTTAAAAAGCGCGCCAATCGATTTCCGCCGACTCGACACGTGGAAATACACATATTAACTTGGAGAAATATACCCAAGTTACTTTTATTTTTGTTACTTATTCACTTTAAAAAGCTAATTCACACGAAAAAAAAACAAGAAACATCTTAAATTAGCTAAGATTGTTTAAATATTTTTCTTAAAAATAATTTAAAGGGAAAGAAGTATTGAGACATTAATTAATCAATCAAATATCATTTTTATCATACAAGGTATCATATAGATGCCTTCTTGAAGATTAAAAATTAAAATTGATGCTTGATAGATTTTGATCAATGCTAGATTGACATTAGAGTATTTTAATTAATTAATAGAACAAATTATTAAGTGAGTATTGATGATTTATTTATTGAGAAATATTTTATAAAATATATTGTTGATGAATAGCATTTAGTTTTGTTGATGAGTGGTATTTGTACAAAGTATAAGGAAAAATAATAACTAATTATAGAGACTTGTTTGATAAATTAAACAGACTTTAGCAAGCAAAATTTCATTTCTCGTTATATCTTTGTCAAGACAATAATGTTTATTATCAATAAAGAATAAGCATAGGTGAGATAAAAGAAAATGAAGCGACAGAAATACGTAATGACTCAGCGTCGGATTATGCAAAATTTTAAGCAACCAAAAATAGTATACCCTTGAGACAGCGATTTGAAAAGCCATTATAGTAACAGAATATTAATTAATAAATTAGTTAATTATTTAGACAATGATTAAATCCTAAAAGCTAGACAGTTATTTTGATGTGTATGTAAACTTACTTAACCACGTGGTGATGTTTGTTCGCGAGGACTTTCTTGTGAGTCTTTTAAATTCCGAATAGAAATTATGTCTGACATGACATGGGTTACACGATCTCACACTCGAATGTTTAACATTATTATTATTATTACTATTATTATTCTGTTCAATATCCACATGTCTTTTAAGACGACTGCATAAATGAACAAGTTTCGTTGTTTTGGTCATCCTTGTCATTAGTCTTGGAGCACTGTTAACAGCTGATGTTGATGTATCACGATCTAAGACTCGATGAGATGTAGTCCTTTGATCTCTCATCATAATAACATCCATAGCACCAAAGGTGTTGATAATTTGCACAGTAGTTGAATCCATTATAACCAACACTTAAATCACTCCACAAGTTAAAATAGTTTTGAAAGCTAAATGATTTGTTGGACTTAGTGTTGTAAAATCGTGTCAAATGTCATCGATGACATTAACAGAAACACTATTGAGTCTGCACAGAATCACAATCCGTTTAGCACTGGTTCCCGCACAAGCCATGCACTGATTCTTATATGAGGGGGGAGGTGAACGAAGGAGGAAGAGCAGAGTGTGAGTGAGTCTCGAGTGGGGGAGGAAGGGTGTCCTGAGGAGCGCCAATGTGGTGGAGATTGTGAATAAGGCGGGGGTAAAGCCTTAGAGTATAGAAGAGTCTCAAATTTTCCAGTCTTTAGATAAATTAAGGGTTGGCCAATGTCCTAGACCTTTATAATCTGATGATCTAAGTACAATGATCTCCAATGTCCACCTGGATGAATGAAATACTTGAGTCAATGTTATTTAATTACACTTCAACAATCACTGATGTAACTGTGTATTTTTATTACGTGGTAACACTAGCAATCGCATGTAACGTGTTGGTAATACTCCGAGTTTATGATACTCAAGTGGCGTAAACCAGTGCCTATATACGATTGTTGGTGGTTCTGGTTGATACATGGAGAAGAGCACGTGGCCCATGTTCACCCCGCTTTAGGCCAATTCAACCCTCCCCACTTACTGCCAGGATACATTGGAGGAGCTTGCTTGGGTAAGCTACTTTGTGGACCTCCCTCCAACATCAGAGACTGGACACTACTCTCTTCCCTCCCCCTGTCTTTCATCACCGACTCATTCATAACTCCCCAATCGCTCCACTCCCACCACCAAGCGTCGTACGCCACCGTCGTGGTCAACACCACTAGACCGTACATCACACTCCCACCAGCAACACCTTCGTCACGCTCAGGTAGACCAGTTGTACCCTCCAATCTCTTCAATGCTTATTTTACTCATCCAACAGTGTTTCAGGACTTCTAGGATTCTTCGTAAAAATACCCTTTTTCCATTCTTGCTTTTTTTTTCCTCCTGTTCATTCATATACAGTCGTCAGAACTTTTCATTATCAGTTGTAATTATTCTATTACACAATAGAATACACTTGTGTGTTGAGGATAAACATCACAATTTTCCGGCTCGTGTTAATACACTCTCGTGTGAGATAGCATATCTACAATTATCATAATCACATTGACGCCGCACCCTTACCACTATTTTTATACTTCATTGACGTATCACAGTGTTTTAGGTCATATTCTGTGGGAATCAAACGTCATGATGGTCACCAAAAAAGGAAAATGCATATCAGTTTCTTGTGACGTTTACTTTTTTATTAGTTTTTAGAGCATCTAAGTAATCCAGCTGTTTGTATGGAATATTCAACATATGGGTTTTCCTCTTATTAGTCATAATAATGGAAAATTTGCGAACAAACGTGCTTTTTCATGAAATTCACTTTTTTTTTGTTTTGTTTCAGATTTATTGGGTTATTTTCACCTTTATCTGACATGAAACCATACACGTGACTAATTCAAGGATTGATTCATTTTTCAACAATATGTTGCTTTGAAAAAAGATCTCATTGGTTATATATATATTTTTTTTTATTACTTTTTATTTTTAGCATCTTTATTCTTATATAATGCTCAATGAATCCAAAGAATACTGGGATTAAAAAAAATAATTAATGATTTTAATATTTAATGTCTGATAAAAAAAAGGTATGAAATCGTTTTTATTCAACACTGCTTACCTGTACTTTTTGTTTTTTTTTTTTTTTTATTAAATAATAATATTATTATTTACTCTCTAATACATTGAAATAAAAAGTTTATCATCACTGAATGACTCCAACATCAACAGGAAATTAATAGATAAAAAAAAAAATAGCTGAGATTTTTATGAACAACAGCTGATTGAACATTTCTGCAACAATTTTTATTGCCAATTCAATTTAATGATAATAAATTTATTTATTGAATCATATATTCAGCTGACTTTTAGTGTTAAAAATATAAATTGAATATTTTTAATGACAGTCATGTCATAAAATGTGGGAACAACGTTTCTGAAAGTGATCCTCTACATGTTGATTATTAAATTGCAACAATCACCTTTTTTTCAATCATATTTAATAGTATAACCTCGTTTTCATTCCATTTTTTTTTATACAAAATTAATTAGAGTGTTGATTTATGATTATTTTTTTATTGGATCTAATGTATTCATTACTTTGAAGTCTTTTCTAACCTCAAAGAAAAATAGATCGATTGAATTGGCCAATTAATTGAATGAATAATTATTTATCAAGATTTATGATGTCTAGAAAAATAAGAATTAAATATTATTTGTATATAAACTTATCATAATATTGAACTAAGTAATAAGATAACTTTTCTAACCAAAACATCATTCAATCAAATCAAACATTTAATTGCGAATATTCGACATTTTGTTTTTTTTTTTTGCTACCAGAGGGCGTGTGCTTATTTGAAGAACGCAATAATAATAATAGATCAGGAGAACCAGTTGTCTTAAGTAGGTGTTTAACATGTCATTATTTACTAACGTTTAAATTATAAATATTCTTCACATAACTAATTCAATATGTCTAAAATCCTCAGGTAAAGAGACCCTGAAGTTAAATCCAAAGGGTAGCTGTTGAAAAGGAAGCATTGTAATCCTCTTAAAAGTCAGACTTTGCAGGCGCCACTTGAATCTTCACCAGCAGGACTATTTAACATAGGGGCATACATTATCAACTCCTTCATTGGAAATCCCAGCGTAGGAGAAAGTTGGTGAGTTATTCAGCTTTTACTTGATATCACTCAATAATTTAATTGCCAGGATTATTCCAGAAATACATGAGTGTATTGAAAATGACGCCAGGATTCCAAATTTATATGAATCATTCTTGTGCTATTCATAATTTATTATAAGGATGTTGGAATGTTGACTGATTTGCTGGTCTAATTATATTCTAAAATACTAACATCGGTGGTAATAATGAAAATAATAATGATAACAAGCAACAGATTTAATTCCGTTATCCGCTATAATATGACTAAGAAGCGTGAGTGCCTTTAGTAGGAATTCGTGCCCACGTGCGGTATTCGATGATGACGATGGAGGAAAGGAGATATTGTACTTGTTACGTATAACTTGTAGGTCGTTGTCATAGGAATTAAACCATGTGGTTAAATTCAACTAAAACATAGTCAAATATAATATATAATCAGCGCATCCTACCTTTTATTAGCTACTTAAAATGAGATCAAAGTTATCATTGACTTGAAATTATTTTGATATGGAGCTTTTTTGAAAAAAATTTATGGTGACTTAACATTGTCGTAGTTAATGAACGAATGGTGCTACATTGATGAGTCTAGATTCATTAGAAAGCTGAGAATCTCCTTTTTACAATAGTATCTATGAAGATTCAAGAAAAAATTTATTTGTTTCTCTGATATTTTTTCTAATAGAGTAATGAAGAAATACTCATCTAGACCTGGAGCACAAAAATCATCTTCAACTTCCGATGCTCATAACTTTGGAACCAATGATCCTACAAGAATAAATCTGTGCTCATTGGAAAGCTTAGATTCTGATCTCCAGAAACACATCTCTAACAATTGATGAAAAAATTAGTTGGTCCCTGTATTTATTTAAAATCAAATGATTGAACATCATAAGCTCTGCTTGAAGCATCAAAATCAGGTCTAACTTCTGATGCTTATAACTTTTGGAAGAATTATCGTACAAAAACGAGACTGAGCTCATTGAAAAGCTTGAAATCTGTTCTCTGAAATACATATCCTAGTTATAATTGGAAAAATTTATTTCAACCCCAAAAAAAGCGTAGGAATCAAGTATTCCAAGATAAAAATAATTTCCCACGATCTCCAAGTGTCAAAGTCCGTAGCAATGAGATGTTGGATTGAAAAAGTCAACGTTGATTGTTTGCATACAAAAACGCGACGCCAGCAAAGGGTGATACGTTGAAAGAAATCCAGCTTCATATTACCATCATCAAAGACTAAATATTAGCTCATCAACCGATATTGCGATTACTTAAAATATGTTTGATGATTTATTAGCAAACTTGACCGTTGACTTTGTAAATTAGATAAGCTTAATCTTTTTAACAAAATGAGTATTTTCCCATCATTATTAAGACGCCCTTATTTTACATAATCTCTGAACAATAGAACTGATGTTCTGGCAGTTGGTCTTAATCTCAAGTAAACTCTTTATTTCATCACGTCTAGATATTCGTAAGGGCCAACAATACAAGTTTATCCGGCTTTGGGTTTCGTTAGTTCAAGTACTAGACTCAATATTTTTAGAGTCAGTTGAAATAAATAAACCTCTAAATTATTTGGAACCATGAAGAGATAATGGTGACTGGGAAATCCAAGGCGTTAGGTGGCTACATATTATCTTATCATTTCGGAGTCTTGGAATTTTCTGCAAACAGCTATTGTTCTCCAACATATTAACTCCTTCAAGAAGCTTACTAGTTGGTAGATGATGAAAATTCATTTGTTGGGCTAGAAATATTGGTCCAACAATGAAGGTAGATTTGAAAGTGATGATGATGTTGGGTGTTGGTGGTAGTGATGATGAAGTACTAACTTAAGTAGAAATGAGAATCCAGAAGAATTGTTGGAAAGCGAATTGATGGATGAGTTTATTGATGACCTTGATCTGAACTAGAGAGATATCTGGATGAATTAGCTTGAAAAATTGCACGTTTTCCTGTTAAATGATTATAATATGAGTCATTAATTGGGTTAAATAGTTTTTGCTACTAGTAGCTAGCTAGAACACGAGACCAAGTGTGTTTAGAGTAATAGATTATACGTAGATATGTTGTTTCCACGTAGAGTAGGCTCATGATGCAGAGTCACCACTTAAAATTACTCCGTGATATCAATTGGTTTATATGCATTTATTATTATCAATGCAGTTAGATGAATTATTCAAGCAATTTCATCATACTCTAATTAGTTGGACAATATTTTTTGATAGAGACTAAAGATTGCTTTGGTTGATACTTTTTCTATCAAGAAACTGTTGAAACACCTAAACTGTCATAACTTCCGAACAAATAATGATACATGAATGAATATGGGCTCATTTGAAAGCTTAGAATCTGCTCTTTGAAATGCTATGCATAAAGGTTCAAGAAAAAATTTTATCTATTCAACATTTTTTTTTATAAAGTGGTCGAAAAAAAAAAATCTGAAAATCAGATTTAGCTTGAAATATTTATATTTTTTGAAGGGATGAGCTTGCAGGAATAAGTCAGAGCTCAGTTGGAAGCTATGATTCTGTTCTATGAAAATTTATGTTTGATAGATGAATGGTTAGAAAAGTTCAATAGTTTATTTTTATGTTACATTATCATCGTCATTATTATCATCAGAGTACTTTTTTCATTAATAATAGTTATTATTATTTAATTGTAAGCATTTTTAAATTAAAATGTCACGAGAACTATTAAATAAAAAAAATAAAAATGATTTGTAGATAAGAATGATGATTAATATAATAATTCTGCTCAATCAAAGAGAACAAGAGATTTAAAAAAAAAAATGTTCATTGAACTCTAATCATTTTTTATTGATAGAAAATGATGATGAAAATTAGTGGGAATTATTCAATATTCTAAGTAAAATCGATAAGAGAACTTATGACAGTTATTTTTTAATTATCAGTTTATTTTTCTATAACTATCTAACTTTGAAAGAGCAGGAATGACTGGTCAATGATATAGAGCTTTTTTGCAAAAAATTGGTGGTGACTTAACATTGTCGTAGTTAATAAACGAATGGTGCTACATTAATGAGTCTAGATTCATTAGAAAGCTGAGAAACTACTCTTTACAATGGTATCTATGAAGATTCAAGAAAAAATTTATTTGTTTCTCTGATATTTTTTTTAATAGAGTGATGAAGAAATGCTCATCTAGACCTGGAACACAAAAATCATCTTCAACTTCCGATGCTCATAACTTTGGAACCAATGATCCTACAAGAATAAATCTGTGCTCATTGGAAAGCTTAGATTCTGATCTCCAGAAACACATCACTAACAATTGATGAAAAAATTAGTTGGTCCCTGTATTTATTTAAAATCAAATGATTGAACATCATAAGCTCTGCTTGAAGCATCAAAATCATGTCTAACTTCCGATGCTCATAACTTTTGGAAGAATCATCGTACAAAAATGATACTGAGCTCATTAGAAAGCTTGAAATCTGCTTTTTGAAATAGATATCCTAGTCATAATTGGAAAATTTTTTCTAACCCCAACAAAAAAGAAACAATTCAAATCAAAACGAATAAGAAGCTCCATTATAGTGATATGCTATTTATCAATGAATTAAAATACTTTATCATGATCATTTTATCCTCCATGGTTATTTCTTAATTTCTATTTGTTCCCATACTCAACTTAAAAGTACAAAAAAATATATAAAAAGAGAAAGGTCAATATGCTGACAATCTTCGCCCTGGACTCGTTGCGCAACTTCAAAGGGAGTTCCCAGGGAACAAGAATTGGCCATGTTCCAGCAAAAACACACGAAAAGATGATGTTTTGCTGACTCTAAAGGAGAATCGCGGAAACGATTTGGCCAAGAAGATATCTCTGATCTGATGACAAACTGCAACATGGTTCGTTGTACATGACAACATGAAGCAAAATGCGTATAATAAAAGTGATTATTTAGGTGTATCTGAAAAGTGAATTCGATGCGCGTTCACAAGATGAGAGTAAGAAAGACATGGAGGATTACCGATGAGGAATGAAAGGAGAAGTAGAGAAAAACGACATTTAACCAAGCCAAGTGGAAAAGGCGGGAGCAATTTTTGGTGGTAATTATATCGATTCGTGTGGTCTCGGTCCTTCAGGAGGTGGACAAGAAGCGGATAGAGACATCGGCCACATTCCGGACTACAGAAAGGCACGCGGTAAAACGAGGACAGATATCCGGAGATCTCTTTCTGCTTAACATTTTACCCAGTCCATGGACCACCCAGGAATCAGCTCGTTTGTCCTCGCGCGCAATATTCAGTGCGCGCGTTACCCTTTTTTAGGTACAAAAAATTTTTTTCAACCATTTTGTTCAATAATATTCCCACCAAAAATACCGGTATCCATCATGCTAAGCTTTTAGACACATCCATTGGACTACTTTCGACAGCTTTTTGACGCTCAGACGATTCATGCCTTCAACCCTCACATCTAAAAAAATAAACACACTTTTTCCAGCTTTAATCAAGCAACTTTTATCTCATTTTATCAAGGAAATATTTATTTAAAAAAATTACCTGCAAATATTTAAATATTTTGCTTCATTTATTGACTTTGTTTTGGATTAGAATAATTTTTTTTTTTGCTATTTAATTATCGAGATTAATACGAAAGAAGACATTTTAAATGTACAATTAAAAGTCAGCATAAAAATTAATCTCATGTATATATTTACACTTCTAGAAAAATAAACATTCATTTTTCTAACCTATCTATCAGCCTTACGAAGCTTCCTAATAAATTTTCCAACATTTCTGGGTAGAGAAAATAATCTCAATTATTTCAAAAACATTATAATTCATTTAAATATGATGAAATCAGTTATAAACTGACGGTTATTTCATGATTTAGCATTGCTATCACTACACTAGATTCATTATTCCACTAAATAATCTCCATTATTTCCAACCTCAATATCTAGTTGTCATTATTTCCCAATAATTTTCGCCATTTTCTTGTAAAAAAACATTTCTACCA